GTTCAGCGCCTTCCAAGTCGCCCAGTCCTCTGTGTGCCCAGGGGGGAGTTTCTCATTTGGTATCAGTCATTGGTTGAGGTTCTGGGTTTCACCCTGCCAGTTTTGGACTCTCGCTTGCTGAGGTGTTCCAGCGAATGTCTCTGTGGATCTTAGAAAACTATTTCTAGATTTAAGTCGTTGACATGCTGGCTCATACCCAAACAAGTGATGAGCTGGAGATGTCTCTGCCTTGGTCCTTTCACTATTGGCTGCTACTTCCCGGCGGATGTCAGGTGGTGCAATACCGGCTAAGCAGTGTAATTTCTCCAGTGGTGTAGGGCACAGACACCCTGTGATAATGCGGCATGTCTCATTAAGAGCCACATCCACTGTTTTAGCGTGGTGAGATGTGCTCCACACTGGGCATGCGTACTCAGCAGCAGAGTAGCAAAGCACAAGGGCAGATGTCTTCACTGTGTCTGGTTGTGATCCCCAGGTTGTGCCAGCCAGCTTTTGTGTGATATTGTTTCTAGCACCCACTTTTTGCTTGATATTCAGGTATCTGGGTGCGCTGCAATGCTCCTGTGGGATTCCTTCCCAAGTAATCCTCAGAGCTCAGGATGCTTGTCTGTTCTTAAGGTGAAAGGCACATGTCTGTGTTTTGGATGGGTTGGGGATCAGCTGGTTTTCCATGTAATAGGCAGTAAAAGCACCTAGAGCTTCGGAGAGCTTCTGTTCTACCATCTCAAAGCTCCCTGCTTGAGCGGTGATGGCACGATCATCAGCATAGATGAAACTCTCTGTCCCTTCTGGCAGTGGCTGGTCATATGTGTAGATGTTGAACATGGATGGAGAAAGCACGCTCCCCTGAGGCAGGCCGTTCTTCTGTTGTGGTGACCCCCAACCATACAATTATTTTCATTACAACTTCATAACTGTAATTTTGCTACTGTTATGAAGAGAGGGAGGGAAGAAAGACAAAAGGTTAGGAAGGAAGGAGAAACGGAAAGAGGGAAGGAGGGAGGAAAGAGGGAAGGAAGGAAAGATAGGATGGTGAGAGAGAGGAGGGCCTGAGAAAAGAGCCCAAAGGGCCGCATCTGGCCCCTGGGCCTGGATTTGCCCATACCTGATCTATAATGTGTTCTTCTTTTCCTACTGTCGTCTACCAACATTATTGTTTTATCTACCGAGTCATTTGTCTTGTCTTCTGATACCTCCAAAGTATGACAGTCTCAGTTTAGTCCTCTTAGCTTCATGGGAGACTTCAGACTTCATTTTCTTCAAGACCTTTTTATTTGGCTTTTTAGCAGTACACAGTATCCATATAACTCTTCTCCAGCACCGCATCTCAAATGAGTTGATTTTGTTTCCAGGGGCGGCTCAACCCATTATGCAAAGTAAGCATTTGCAGTATAGTTGATTTTGCCCAGGGGTGCTCTTAAGGCGCTCTTGGGGGAAGATAGACCTTGAGCTATGCGAGTTGTAGTTACTGTGATGTTCACCTACAATCAAAGAGCATTCTGAACTCCACCAATGATGGAATTGAACCAAATATGGCACACAGAACTCCCACGACGAACAGAAAATATATATCAGTGATTGGAGCCCCCAGTGGCGCAGTGGGTTAAACCCCTGTGCCGGCAGGACTGAAGACCAACAGGTTGCAGGTTCGAATCTGGGGAGAGGCGGATGAGCTCCCTCTCAGCTCCAGCTCCCCACGCAGAGACATGAGAGAAGCCTCCCACAAGGATAATAAAACATAAAAACATCCCAGTGTCACCTGGCCAACATCCTTGCAGATGGCCAATTCTCTTGCACCAGAAGCAACTTGCAGTTTCTCAAGTCGCTCCTGACATGAAAAAAGAAAAGAAGTTTTTTTTGGGGGGGGGGGTTCCAAAATACTGTTTGCTTACCATTGAAAATTACCTAGGGCTGCCTCTGTTTCTGTCAGTTTTCATCACTGTCCATCTTTCACAACCATAAATAGAAATTGGAAATATGATAACATAGGCCAGTGTTTCACAACCCCCCAGTTCCTCGTGTTGTGGTGACAAATTATTTTTGTTGCTACTTCATAATTGTAATTTTGCTACTGTTACGAATCGTAACATTAATAATAATAATAATAATAATAATAATAATAATAAACTTTATTTATACCCTGCCTCCATTTCCTAAAGTTGACTCGCAGTTAGGCTTGCGTAACCACGGAAAAATTTGGTTCTAAACTCGTTTTGTTTTTAGGGGGCCCTTGCGTTTTGTTTTTTTTAATAATTCCGAAATTTTCCTTTTAAAAATTTCGAAATATACGAAATTTCGTATAATTACGAATCGATTCGTTAATGGCGGACGCGATTGCGCAATATGCTAAAAAAACCTCCAAATGGGACAGGGGGAACTTCTGAAGCTTCCCTCTCCCTCTGTTGTTGACTGTTGGTGTGATAAAACACACAACAACTATAAAACTTGCACCAGACATGCGAAAATAATTACGAAATAATTACAAAATAATTACGAAATAATTACAAAATAATTACGAAATAAATTGAAAAAATTGTTTCGAATCTAATTTACTCCTCACACTATTCCTGCATGGCTCAATATTGGATCATAAGCTAATTTAAATACGAATTAATAACGAATTACGAAATTAACGAACGAAACCGCCCAAGCCTACTTAGCATTAGGCCAAGCCCAACAACACATCAGTAAAACAACAAAGCAGTAAGCAAATAAAACAATACAATTAATATAACTTATATATAAGCAATAACACGCAAGGGTTTAAAAACCTATGGCTGGGCCAGATGTAATAGTTTAAAATTTTAAAAAATAAACGCTGGGCAAGAACAGAGGTAGGTAGGATGTATCTAGTAGGAGGGTTTAAAAGGAAATGTAGGGGGAGCAACCCAACAGGTAGTTAAAGTGCTTCTGAGGACATTTTGCAGGGAATTATGTCCTTTATTCAGGGAAGGCACACTGGAACAGTCAAGTTTTCAGGCTCCTCCTAAAGACTGCCAATGTGGCGGCTTGCCTGATATCCTTGGGAAGTGAGTTCCGAAGTTAGGGGGGCACCATATAAAATGGAAGTAGTGGTTGAAATAATGTGTTCCATACACTCCCAGAGATAGCATGCCCACCAAGAAGGCAATAATTAGCCATGTTAGTCTGTTGTAGGCATTAAAATGTATTACTTTTTATCATCATCATCATAGGTGATCACTTGTGGCTGAGTATGATTGTCTTCCAAGGGTAGAGTTATGGTGGTAGTGTGTCTGGAAGTGATTGTAGAGACTTATTTTAAATCTGCATGGTCTTCTATAATGAAGAAGGACTCGATGTGGCTTACAAAGACCAAGGCCTCAAAACACAACATAACAATACACAACCTAAAGCAAATTTTAAAAAGTTAAAGCAATATTAAACAACAAGCAATAAAACAATACACCAAGACACAATAAAACTGGGCCAGGGCAGAGTAATGGGTACAGATTAAGAATGCTGACGTGACAGGTGGTATGTAAGGATTATGGGGTAAGTGCAGTGTGCCAGCAATCTTAATTCCTAATAAAGTGCTTCTGGGACTTGTTGTTGGAGGATTCCTATTCTGGAAAGGCACATCGGAACAGCCAGATCTTCAAGTTCTTTCTAAAGACTGCCAACGTAGGGGCCTGTCTAAGATTTTCAGGAAGATGGTCCAAAGAGTATTTCGATTCACAGTGTGGTAGGCCTTTACAAGGTCGGTGTATGCCATGTAGACCTTGATTTTGTTCCTTGCATTTTTCTTGGAGCTGCCATGTATTTAAAAACATGTCCACTGTTACTCTAGAGGGGCAGAAGATATTCTGGGATTCAGGGAGAATGTCTTCTGCAACAGGTAGAAGGTGGTTTGCAAAAATATTTCCAGCAGATATCTTTATACTTTCCACAGACTGTTCT